TGACTTGCGGGCTATGTGGATCACCGACAACTTGAGCTTACAGGTGCCAGAGGCATTGGTGGTGAACAGGACGGTGATGCGCTCCTTCTGCAACTTCCGGCCCCAACACTTGCTGGCAGACTTGACAACGAAGGTCTTGGAAGGTAATTTCTTCCAAAACAGCCCGGATTCATCCATGTTGAACACCTGGTCGTCGGTGTACTGCCCTTCCTCCATAATTCTCGTAAGAATGGAGGAAAATCTATCGCCGCAGCACGCAAGACTTTCGCTTCCTTCACCAACAATGTTAATGTTCGTGATCTGCTTTTTTTTTAAACCCTTGCAGCCACCCAGAGGAAGCATTGAAGGGTTGGGCTCTGCACTTCATTTTGCGTACTGATTAAGAGTTCACGGGCTTAGTCCTGCACTACCCGAGTGTCGATGTTCCGTCTTGCCTGACGAATCAAAGTACTGTAGCTCACCAGTAAATTCTCCGTCTTGATCAGCACCTTTATTCTGACAATACTTCACCATTGAAGCACCTGCAGACTTTGTGATGCTCATGTGTTCTTTTTTCCTTGGCGGCATCCTTGATTGTAATAATCGAGATTCGTTAACCTATGCTGGTGCGCGGATCAACTTGTCAGGTTCCATTTTCTAATTCGGACGATTTTTATTTTACCAGAACTTAGGAGCCACCGTATCTTCTTGGGCTTGGGGCTGCTTGGTCCAGGTAATGCAAGGTTTTCTGGGGTGGTGGTCCAGCGGAAGCCATTGTTGAAAGATTAAGGGCACAAGAGAGAACAGTATATCATGGAGACTGTGAACAATGAGACTGTCTGCTAGGTCAGTGGTTCCTTCCCTCCCGTGGCTGGGCACGCTTATTACATACCAATCACAGCTAGCGGCGAGGGAGGTAAGGATGCCTGGCCCAATCACAGTCCGATACGTGATATGACGTCAGCGATAACGCAACAGCATATATTGAGCACCTCCCCTCACGCTTCTGCGTATGGTCAAGAATGTACCGCGTGAATAATAATTAGGGAGTCTGACTCTCTCACACGCCAATTAAATGATGCAATGAACCGCAGAATTTAAAATTGTCATTCTGGCAAGGTGCCGTGAAGACCAAACGCGTGAACAAAATCTGCGTAAATCAAGACTATACTGTAGTTAGTTTGAGGCATACATTACTGTATATGGTGATTTTCAAAGAATGATAACACACTGAAATCTTCTTTGTAGACTTAATAACATTGTTAAAGAATAATGATATACACTAGTAAAATATTTTAGCATACTAGTACAGTGACCCCTCATTTAACGAACGCCTCGGTTAACGAAATTTCGGTTAACGAACTGCCTTCCATAAGGATCTTCAATTCGGTTAACGAACAATTGTTAACGAATTTCTTACGAACCAACCTCAACATGTTTTTGCCAGACTGACCGCAACCAGCTTTAGTATCAGTCTGCCAATACATTAATCGTTCTAGGCTTAAATTCCTTACTATTTGTGTAAATATCAAGAAGTTTATACTATTCAATAATTTTAAAAGTTTAATATTCAATTTTTAGTCATTTAACAATTATTGAACATAAGTGAAGGTAAGTGACTAGTTTAATGCGCGCATCCAGCTTCTTACACAGCAAACAGGCGTTAGTCTCTCTCTGTTTTCACTGGAGGTAACATCTTGCTTGAGACTCTTCAACTAAACGCTATTTTTCTGTGTTTCCAAGCATATTATTGGTCATTTTGAAATATATTTTATATACAATAATATAATGCAGTGCAGTGTTGATTTAAAGAAAATAATCTTGAAATACACCAAGAGAACTAAAATTTTATGGGTGAAATGGTGCATGGGGTGACTCCTTCCACCCCAATGCCTTCTTCTTCCCTTCTCCTCCACCCCATTCTAATCCATCATCATCATCATCATCCAGGAGCCTTCACATACACACCTCAAAGTAAGTGAAGTTTTCTACCATTTTTGTTGAATTTAGGAAATTTTCAGTGAGTTGGAACCAATTACCCAAAAACCCTTTGAAACAATGGTTTTGGTTAACGAACTTTTTGGTTAACGAACGAATTCTGGAACGGATTGAGTTCAAGTAACCGAGGGGTCACTGTACTGTATTGTAGTGAAAAAACTCCATTATTTCAGCACGTTTTAATCATGCTTAGGGAAAATCTATGAAAATACAAAACAAATTTGTAACTTAAAATTTTTTAAAACAAATTTTCAGGAACCAGGGACTACCTGTACTGGACCCAATCAACCCATCCAAAGGGAATAATCTACCTCACTCACTGGAACAGTGATAGAGCTCATTACTTTTCTTTTAAAAACAATGAAAGATTGAGCAGATGCAGCATGCTATTGACAGTAAAGTACTGCACTAGTTAGCATGAGTTGGTGCACAACTGGGCATCTAGTAAGGTCACAGCAAATATATTTACATTTGCACAGCAAATCAAAATGGCTGAATCACTATGAAAACCATTCAGCCCATACCATTATTAATGACTGATGAAAGGTCACCCTCAATGAGAAAAAAAAATTAAATTGATATCCCTATTAGCCGGAACATGGTGCAGAGCACTTCCGGGGATGAGATTTCGGCTAACCAAACGACTTTCTCAAACCCAGAAAATTCCTTATCCCTGGAATCTTTCTAGGTTACTGGGAAAAGTTTCTGAGTGTCTAAACTAGACATCTTGCACAAACACACTAACCCACTTCCCCAGAACCTTTCTGGGTGCTGGGGATGTTTTCCTTGAGTCCACCAGAGTCCATAAATGCAGTTCTAATAATAGAAACTCCATTTCTTTGCAATAATAATCCAGAGTACTTTATCTAAAAGTTTGGAAATAAATATATTTAAAAATTAAAAATCAATATGATATGGCAGTGAATGAAGCTGTGTGTTACAGCAAAGACTGGTATTTTCCACTCCCATGAAGCTGTGGGGTATTAGTGGGTCTCGTGTAACTGACCTGATCTGACGCAATGTCCGGTGCAGGTAGGATGGGGGATTAGTGGTCTCATATTACTGACCTTCTGATGGAATGTCAGGTCACCCTTTCTTGGGTGTGGGATTAGTGGGTCTCGTGACCTACAAATGTCTTAAATAACAAAAAGCTAAAGTATTTTAGAGATTGTGATAAGTATAAGTATAAACGAGCAAAGTTGTATCCCTTCAACACTATGTTACATAACATTTTAAAATATGGAGGAACCAGAAAGGTGTGGGTGATTAGGGAGATGGAGTGAAAAGGAGTGTTGCTGGCCTCCTCAACAGCTGATATTTAACTCGCTACCATGCAGTCACACGTATAATTTTTCCTCCCACCACCACTTACAACCAACCAGTACCATACGTGTTACTAACATGTAGAGCGACTCTGTGGTGGTAAATATTAGTGGTGATGAATGTTGATAGTGATTATGGTGGGGTTGTTGGTGAGTTTTGGGGGTAGCAGTGGTGAGTGTTGGTGGTGGTGAGTGTTGGGGGTGGTGGTGAGGTTGGGGTGGTGGGTGAGGCTGAAGGTGGTGGTGAGTGTTGGTGGTGGGGATGGTGAATGTGTGTGTACCGGCCCATCTGCGAAGTCGAGTCAGTCGCCACTCAACCCTTAACATGGAGGGAAATATCGAGCAACGCTTTACCATCAGACTTTGCTTCAGACTTGAAAAAATGGTACAGAAATTCATGAAATGATCAAGGAAGCCTAAGAAGATGAAGCAATGACCAAGGCTCAAGTTTTCAGTTGGCAGAAGCACTTCAAAGAAAGTTCCTCTGAAAATAAGCATCATTCTGAATGACCTTCCACTGAGAAATGATGAAAATGTCCATAAAAATTACCAGCTTGCCCATGAGTAACATAGGGTGATCATGTGTAAGATTGCCGAGCAAATGGACCTCTCAAATGGAAATGTTAACAGAATTCTGACTGACGACCGGCAATTGGCTGCTTCATCAGGACAACCCACCTTCGCACACTGCCCTCTCTTTGAACGATTTTCTGGTGAAGTACAGCATCCCAGTGATCCCCCACCCTCTTAACTCTCCAGCTCTGGCTCCCTGTGACTTCTGGCTGTTTCTGAAGTTCAAATTGAACCTCAAGGGGAGAAAGTTCATGGACAGAATGGAGATCCAGGACACATTGCACAAAATGCTCTCCAGCCTCACCAATGAGGCCTTCCAGATCTGCTTCCAAAAGTGGGAGGAGCGGATTTAGTGCTGCATTGAGGCCCCTGGAGAATATTTTAGGGGTTACTAAAGTTTCACTGTAATATTTTGAAAAATAAAGATTTTATAAAGCAAGTCAGGGAACTTTTGGATCACACCTCTGAGACTTAAACAGTTCTACCAGATGACAAAACCGATTCATGAAAATTTTCACATTGCTGATGGAATAATTCCGATATGAAGATGGCTGATTTAAACCTTCCTGTTAACCAGCCAAAACACAGGCAAGAGGACTTTGCTCTTCCCTTAGAGAGCATGTGAGTTCAAGGCACAGTCCAACACAGAAGCATTGACAGAGAAAAGAATGGATAACCTATGCTACACTGCCTTGAAGCCAAGAAGACCTAATCTAACTTAACCTAACCTACCCACAGCAGACATAGTCAAACACATAGCCAGTCTGTCTAACACATTAAATTTTCTGCTCAAACTCAAAACTTTCTTGATCCTCTTTCCAGCAAACTCACTTCCCAGTTACTACGATGGAGTGGGGAGAAGAAAATCACAAGTGTGATAGTGTATTGGATGGGAAATGACAAGAAAATTTATATGGGTTAACAAACTCATTATTATTAGAAGTTGATGTGTTGCAAATTAGCAACTGGTATACTTTTACCAATTTGTGGTTATTTGGAACTCAAAAAATTTACTCTCCTATATGGAGGGATTACTGTCATGTATTTCAAGCACGTACAGTATATTGATTAAATAAGACTGAAATGTTCATGGAGAGTTAAGACCAAAATAAGGATAATTAAATTAAATTTCACCAATTACAATTCTTCTTTTTCTAACGATAAAACAAGCTTTAGATACAATTACAATGTTTAACTAACACTAAGTGGGGTTTAAGTCAATAATAAAATTCTTTACCACCTGAAGACAGAAATATTTTGTTACACAGTACTGTACTTCAACAATAAAATTCTGATTACAATGGATAGACTCTAAGAACCAAATTCTTGTGTCAGGTTGAATTGTCTTGAACTCAAACGATCCTCGACCATCCATGTGAAGATAATACTGTAAACAGAAATGTTTATGTATAAATATCCCAGATGCTAGTTTCATGCAAGCACTTCATACTTATTAATCTTTGCACTAATCAACAGCAATAATATTACTTGTTGCAGTCAGTCTGTATTAGGAGGAATTACAGTTTTAATTTTTACAAGAAATCAAAGAACATAAATATTTATCAGTTCTAACCTCATGGTGTTTCCAGAGACTTTTGCGATGTGACACAGTGAAGAGGCTGATGCCAACTTGTCTACAATACTGGTACATGCCATCTTCAACATCAACACTGACAGCACTGGTGCACTCATCCAGTATGGCAAATTGAGGTTTGTGGTAGAACAGACGTGCCATCTAAAAAGATAAAATATTAAATTATAGCAATACTGTACAATAGATGTTTATAAATGAAAATAAAATTGCTGAACTATCTACTAAATACTGTACAGTGAACCCTCACTTTACGCGGTCAATTGAACCCACGGCCCCATGTGAAAGCGTAAAGTGAACAACATAACATGGGATTAATTGAAATAGAGACCGGGCCGACCCCCAAACTCCACTTTTTCAGACACAATACCTCGTTGTAGTAAAAATAATTTCTTAATTTTATGATGGTATGCACACATTAATAATTAAGAGAAATATCAATAACATTAGGTTTTTAACACTTACATTAGTAGAAAAATGGCGGCACACCGGGGATGGGGGTTGGTTCGAACGAGCAGATTATTGGCTCACCTGTATCCTTGTATCAATTGTATCACTATCACCACAGAGGCTTGCAGGGCCTCTTTGTCAAACCCTCAAAGTCCATATAAGTCCATATCCTCACTATCATTATCACTGACTTGGGCGGCTGTGGTGGGTGGCGGGTGAAGAAATCGGTATGTTTGATGACTGGGCGACCTTGTGCCTGCTCGCTCTCACGTAAAAGGTACACACACGGAAAGTGAGCATTCCGTGTTTGGCGGGGTACCCATAAGCGTGGAAGCAGCGTAAAGTGGGACAGCGTGGGGTTGACTGTACGTTAATTTTCCATTTGGACATGAACTGTGACAAGTTAAATATAAACAACTTTGGTGCTTTAGAATTTAATTAAAAAATTATGATTTTGTTTATGATCACATTAAATGTCTTCTTCAGGATCTAGGTACACGATATTTCTCATGTTTAACGGGGACTACCTGCACAGCATACACCCTGAGATTAATTCTAACCTTGAGATGTATATTTCAGGAATTAAGTTATGTCTCAGGGACTACTTCCCCAAAAGACATATTTTCCACTGTACCCAGCCCATGCCAACCACATGTGCTTGTTATGCCATCTAGTGACCAACTGTGTAACTAACTAGTCACTCAATCACACTCATACCCATTCTGAGTGCAAGGCCTTAGTGCCTGACTACAGTACTTGGTTGGTAACACAAAGTTTTACACATTTCAAATGAAATTGGGACTTTTGTTTATGAAATGGTTTATTGTACTAGTCAGATGTTTGAAGGCCTGAAAATAGATGAATGATTGGAGAGTAGTGTTAATTTAGGTCGCTTAAAAGAACTTAAACCATTTTCACTCATTAATTACTCAATTTTTTTTAAGTTTTAAATGTAATCTTTAATGTAATTTTCAGTTAGAAATAAACTGTTAAATACTTTAAAAATGTGGACAGCCCTGCCGGTCCCATATCGACCTCTTGAGTCACATCAGAGCTCACCAACGAAAGGGACACCATTAATAACTCATATCATTGTCATAACTGGAGGATTGTCATACTCGTAAGACAGAAAAGTAGTAGTAGCAGCGTATATGTTAATTTCCACTTTAAAGACAAAAATTCTTTCATTTTGTCCTTCCTTTAAACTCATTTACATCCCCTGAAGAAGGTGTAGCTGCTGTTGATGTGCCCTCTCCTGTATGAATAACCACTTACTGCAATTCTCTGTTTTTCCCCTCCAGACAGCACATCCATCCAATCAGCAATTGCATTCCATCCACCTTCTCGGTCCAGTATGTGTGTGAGCTGCACACGACCCAAAAGTTCTCGTAAGCTTTCATCCGAGTACCCGTGTGCCTTCATATCAGAGTGCGAGTCAGGATAAATCACCTGTGGAAGTTTAAAACAAAACAATTTGAACAGAAGAAATATAATGTAAAGGCTACATAACTAAATTATTTTAAATGTTGCAAATTCATGTACAGTCAACCCTCACTTTACGCGGTCCCACATTCCGCTTCACGTTTAGGCGGTGCCCTGCCAGAACCCAGGATGCTCACATTCTGCGGTGGGTGTACCCATTTACACGGTGAAGTATAATTTTTTTTATTTAGCTCATAAAATTCATACAAATTATCCGGCCAGAATATAATTTATATTGCTGGAATTTTTACAATTTGATGATCATTTTGAATATAAACATCATAGATTTTGCATTAGACATACAAATTTTAGATATAATGTTTACTCTTGAGTAAATATGTTATCTTTGTGCAAAATATATGATATTTATATTCAAAATATTCCTGGTCTTACAAGGAATCCAGCAATGTCAATTATATTATCCTAACTTTAGTCTGATTTATTATTTATTACTAAAAAGGTAAACAGTCTGGTATTCCCACACATTTATCTAGTAGGGACATTGGTGGGGGTGGGGGAGGAGGGAGGACCGGCGACCCACCATCTGTTACCGTGTGAAGAATATTTTTTTTATTAACTGAAGATTTTTATTTTAGCTCATAAAAATTCATACAAATTACCCGCCAGAATATAATTTACATTGCTGGAATTTTTACAATTTGGTGATCATTTTGAATATAAACATCATATATTTTGCATTAGATACAAAATTTTAGATAAAATGTTTAATCTGAGTAAATATGTTATCTTTTGTGAAAAATATATGACATTTATATTCAAAATATTCCTGGTCTTACAAGGAATCCAGCAATGTCAATTATATTATCCTAACTTTAGTTTGAGGTATTATTTATTACTATACCTGGTTTTCCCAAATTCTTTCTCAGAGGGAAGAGCCAGTGTAGTGAGAAGAGGGGAGGGAGTCGTGTCCATTATTTGAATGGAACTTAAATTTGGCGACTGTATTTCTATTTCTCTTAAGTATTAATTGTGTGCATGTACCATCATAAAATTAAGATGTTATTTTTACTAGAACATAGGTATTGTGTTGGAAAAAGTGGAGTTTGGGGGTCAGCTGGTCTCTATTTCATTTAATCCTATATGTTATGTTATTCACTTTACGCGTTTCTCACTTTCCTGCGTACCCTGTGGGTTACATTAACCGCGTAAAGTGAGGGTTGACTGTACTGTACAGTACAATTGCAGACAAAATTCCCTAAACACCTGGCAGTATCTATCATGTAAGTACTACTGTACTTAAGTATTATTAGGTGAGGAGGATTGGAATTTTAACATATTTTCTCATAAATGTTTTTTTGTATTATGGAGTGCCTTTCCATTTTGGGGGCTTTACATAATTTGTGACAAAAAGTAGCATTAGTGTCCCCGGGTTACGAACGGGTTCCGTTCCTGAAGACGCCCCAGAAGTCAAAAACACGTAAGTCGTAACACATGCCCTATGTGCACTATATCATAGCCCTAGTCCTTTTATACATCTCGAATCACTTAATTTAAGAGAAAAGAAGAAATTAAATGACAAAATACATTAAATAAAGGTAAAAATTAAAGTTTAACACTTGCATTAAAGTATGGGGCTGGCTTGCATGTAGAGATGGGCATATGTAGGAGTGACAGAGGCTTTATTGGGACCTAAGCTGATGATGGTGATGATGATGTATTGTAGATGTTAACAGGATTGGTTCTGGAGAATCTGGTGAGGAAGAAGTAACTGGTTCTATAGATGCTGCAGAGGTTAATGGGAGTTGCTTTGTAGATGCCCTAGAGATGGATGAACTTGTTCTGTAGGTGCTGCAGAGGTTGAGGACTGGTTCTGTAGATGCTGCAGAGGTTAATGGGACTGGTTTTGGCTGCCTTTTGACTTTCTTAAAAAAGTTTTCAAGGGATGGTTGAACTGAAACTTTCTTCTTTTCTTCATAAATCTCTTTTTAGCATTGTAGACATTCAGTAATACCTCTATAAACCTTGGTAAATCTTGCTATGTTGGGATCTTGCTGTTCAAATTTAAACAATCCTTCAAGAAGCCTGAAACCTTCTGCCATTTCTTTTGTAACGAATCGCTTTGGCCCTGGAGTTTCAGCATCCTCTACATCCTCTGATAAAATTTGCTTCCCATTAATTAATTCTCAAGCAACTCTGTGACATCATCCTCCTGAATATCAAGCTGGAGTTGGTTTCCAAGGTAAACAGTACCACTGCCAGTGTCACTTCCCCAACATCATCTTCAAAGCCCCTGAAATCGTGGACAAACTATGGGTAGATTTTTTTAAAAACACCATTCATGCTGGTTTCTTTTACCTCAGCCCATGAATCTGCAATGTTTTTCACAGTATCTTAAAATGTTGTAGGACTTCCAAAATTACTTTAAAGTCCTACCCTATTTTCGTTCTGTTGCCCTGATAGCTTGAGCAAATGTCCTTCTTAGGTAATATGCTTTCAATGAAGCACTAACTTCTGGTCCATTGATTGTAAAACAAATGTTGTGACCAAGTCCCAGATTGCTGATCTGACTTTCTGCCTCATTTACACACAATTGCACGGTCTCAATTGTTACTCTTACTATTAACAACACAACATACATATATTGTTTCTCACTACTGATATTTTAATTTTTTTTTTAATTTATTCTATTATTCAGGCTATTATTATTATTATTATATTATTATTATTATTATTATTATTATTATTATTATTATTATCATTATATTTTTTTTATTATTTATAATTTTTATAGACTTTATTATTACTGTATGTGTATTTTCTTTTATTATAATTATTTTTTTTTAAATATTGTTATTAATTTTATTATTACTTATTATTATTATTATTATTTTCTTTTATTATAATTGTTATTTTGTTAAATATGTTTATATTAATTTTATTACTAGTATTATTATTATTTTATCATCATCATTTACGGCATGATTATTATTATTATTATTGTTTTATTATATTTTCACTCTGGGCTTTGATGTGTATTATATAGTCCCGTGTTCGGGTGGGCTAATTCCCTTAAAGAAAGAATTAAAGAAAGAAAGGTACACAACCTTAATGTTCGGATAAACATCATCTGAAAATGCTGGATGGCAAGGTACATTGTAATGAACCAAGATAAATTTAAGGGGCATTAACTCTGAAATAGAATAACACTCCATTTCAGGCACAAAATGATTAAGGTACCAGTCTTCAAAAAGGGACAATGTCACCCAAGCCTTCTTATTAGCTTTCCAGATAACTGGAAGTGCTGCCTTGAAAACACCCTTCAAAGCTTTAGGATTTTCTGACTGGTGGACAAGCAAAGGTTTTAGTTTATAGTCCCCAGCAGCATTACCCTCAGCAACAGTAAGGTCAGCCTCTTCTTGGCAGCTTTATGCCCTGGTGCTGTCTTTTCATGTTTTTGAGGTATGTGGGGTCGGACATCCTTTTCCAAAATAAACCAGTCTCATAAATATAAAAAACTTGCTCAGCACAATAACCTCCTTCTTCAATTATTTTAGCTAAAGCAGCAGGAAATTCACTAGCTGCAACTTCATCTGCACTGGCTGCTTCACCTTGCACTATAAAGTTGTGTAAGGTTGCCCTTGCCTTGAACTGGTTAAATCAGCCCAGACTAGCAACAAAATCTTCCCCCTCACTTTCACCACCACGTTTCAAGTCAGCGCTGCTTCTCCCTTTTTTCCTGAATCAAGTTAGACGTAGAGGCAGACGCCGTTGATTTTGATCTTCCACCCATATCACTAACAATCTTTCCATTTCAATTAACAATCCACTTCGTTGTTTAGTTATCACAGTTGACTGCAATGGTGTAGAACCTTTAACATGTTCAAGAAATTTCTCTTCGCCTTCAAAATTGTTCCGACCATTGAGCGACTGAAGCCTTACCAATCACTGAGGGTATTTCACCTTATTCAGAACGTTTAATTACACCAAGTTTTACTTCCATCGTAATTGTTTTCCTTTTTCTGATGCACTACTATCACTTGCATCAGGTTTGCATTTGGAAGCCATGATGAGGCCAAAAGGAGAGTTAATAAGCAAAAAACACAGTTTGCACTTGATCATACAGGTTACTGAGGTGAGGGTAAAGAGTATCCTGAAGTTCCCCTCAAGGCGTGTGGCTGGGTGACGCATCACACAGCTACCCAGCCACATGCCTCGGTGTAATCGTCAATATACTCCTTGCCCTCACCTCAGTAACCTGCGTGATCAAGTGCAAACTGTTGTTTTTTGTTTATTAACCCACGTGTTCTGAAAGGTTACTCTAAAGATCACCTTCCTGTCATTTACAAGGCAAATAAGAAGGCATTTTATATACAGTCTCTCCTCGACTTACAACGGGGTTCTGTCCAGAAAACCAGGTCTAAAGTCGAATTGGTCGTATGTTGAAAAGGCGAAAATAATACATAAAAATTCTAAAATGGGTGTCTCTTTTTCTTCTCAGCACCACGAGAACTCTCACTTTTATGCTTCCCAGCCATTTTAAAGTGAATTACAAAAAAAAATTGTCACTAAACAGCTTAAATCACTGACGTTGAGACTCGAAAAATGTGAATTGATTAAATATTTTATCCGACCACGGCAGTCGATGTCCGGGTTATCGTAAGTCGAGTAGGTCATAAGTCGAGGAATATATATATATATATATATATATATATATATATATATATATATATATATATATATATATATATATATATATATATATATATATATATATATATATATATATATATATATATATATATATATATATATATATATATATATATATATATATATATATATATATACATATATACATATATATATATATATATATATATATATATATATACCCCGCTT